CAGCAGCTCCCTTTCAGGGCTACTGCGGTGCCCTCCCCCGCTGGCAGTCAGAGCATTCATTCCTTTGAACTTGCTCAACATATCAGTCATGCCTGTCCAACAGCACAAGACCAAGTGCAATGGGATGGCTGGTTACAGAATGATCCCAGCAGACCAGTTACAGCGTTCACTTGCCTTCAGGTACCTGGGAAGGCAAGTTCAACATTAAAAAAAAAATCTCATTCTTCACATTCTTTGGAGGTAGAAAGGTTCACTGGTGGAACATTTGTTTAAAAGAGGAGCTGGTGCACCTGGGAAATGCACACTGTACGGCTGAGTGTCATTGTCTAGAGTAATGCAAGCATGTCCGCCTATTAATGAGTAACTCCGCAGGGTGGAGACTTCACTCTGTCTATTACCCGTCACAGTGTCTGGGACAGTGCCGGAAACAGAGCAAGAGGCTCAGTCACTGAATGAATGGATATTATTTAACTTGTGGCTGGAGGAGGAAAATACAAAATGACACAAGTGAAAATCCTGAAGCCGGGAGGGAGGGAGGAGAGCCTACAAGAAGCGAGGAAACCTACTGGACATTACTTCTCTCCTGACAGGCCGAGAAAAGGAGACTGAGAGCGAGTGAATGCATGTACTTCCCTCCCAGGGCGGGGGGCTACCTCTGGGAGGTGAGGGGGCCAGGAAGCTGCAGCTTGCTGGGAGGGGGCTGTGCAGTCTTAGCTGGTCATGAGGATGTGGAAGTGGGAGCTGTTTACAGCCTTCGGGTGGTGAGGGGGCAGGTGACGGAGAGGTTTTTATCTCTACAGGAAGTTCCTTGGAGGCTAGGAGATGGGGTGGGGCAGGGATCCAGACGAAACCCCACAAGAAATTGAAAACTTTTATGTTGGTTTATTTTTAATCCAAAACATCCAGAACATCATTTAAAAATACTGTCTCCTTTTTTTCTCCCCAACATGGTTAGATATTGCTGTTTTAATTGAAGGACGTGTTTGTGTGTTTGGTTTTTCCTACAATTATTACATGGATATCCCTGACGCATGAATTAGTTACATTGTTGGTTCTCAACCCAGGGAGGGGAGCCATGTGGTCCCCCAGGGGACACTGGGCAGTGTCTGGAGACATCGTTGGTTGTCCCACTGGGGAGAGAGTGCTACTGGCATCCAGTCGGTGGAGGCCAGAGATATTGCTCATCAGCCTGCGTTGCACAAGACAGTCCCCACAACAAAGAGTGATCCTGTGCAAAACGTTACGGTGTCGATGTTGAGAAATCATGAGTTTCCTACCATCGTCATCAGATTCTCATAAGTTTTCTTAAATCTATTATTTGAATTCAGGGACAAATAACTCTTGTTAACTCTCAACTGTGGCATCATAAAAATCACCTGGATGCTTTAAAAATTACTGATACCTAAGCTACCCCAGGCCCATTAAATGAAGGTGTCTCGAGTTGGGACCTGGCCATCTGCATTTTTTAATGGCTGATTGTCACCAGCATTGAGCAGCCCTGGTTTAAATGATGCAACAGAGGAAATCAAAGCCACCCATAGTGGATGGTTGAGGAGGAACGAAGACCCTGCCCCAAGGCTTCACTACTACCTTATCTGTTTAAAGTATCTGCAAATAAAATGATACAACTCTCCAACTTAAAAGAGAGTGTAGTAGCTATAGTTATGCCATGGCTTCCTGTGTGCTTGCTTATATTTTGTAAAAAGATTTTCTTTCACTTTGATACTGAAAAATGTGCATTAAAAATGTTTCTGATCTTGGAAAGAGTTCTGGAATAGACTAAAAATTTTCACTTCTTTGTTTTGACATGTTGGTAGCAATGTGTAACTTCTAAGTCTATTTCTTTATGGTGAACATTTCAGTGACTTATCAGAGATATAAAATAATAATAATAATAATAATAATAATAATAATAATAATAAAATTAGTAATTTAATTTATAGAGTATTCCATGCTGTTAATTCATGCAAATTTACATACAAGACCATTATAATTTCTCTAAGACATAAAATACCTATGGATTGATAACTTTAAAGTAACTTTTAAAATAATTATGGTTTGGGTTTAAACATTCTGATTTGGGGTTGGATTTAGTTTATTTACTTCCCTTTGTCTTAGCTAAGTTAGTGTGCAAGTATTTTTTGTTTTGTTTTTTTCTCTTCTGTGCTCAAGACTTTTGCAGAGTTAGTTATGAGGTTAGAGAAGCAGAAGTTTACATATTAGGATTCTCTAGAGAAACAGAACCAATGGAAGATAGATAGGTAAGTACATGGATAGACAGACAGACAGACAGATGATAGATTAGATGTACTGATAATGGATGGATAGATGATACTATAGATAGGTAGGTAGGAAGATAGATGGTTAGGTGGGTGGAAAGATGGATGGATGGATAGACAGGTGGATAGAAGACAGTAAGATAGACAGATAAGCAGACAGATAAATAGGTAAGAGGAGCTTTATTCTAGGAATTGGCTGACAGCTGTGGAGGCCAAGAAGTCCCACCACCTGCTATTGTGGAAACATGTGTTACAGCTCGGTGTTACAGCTCAGTTGTGACAGCAACCTGGATCCGGGTGCACTCAGACAGTTCAAGAACTCAGGTTTATTACGCCAGCAGGCTCAGAAGGGTTAACATTCCAAGCTCTGGACCCCATGTGTAGGTTTACACAGGCCTTTTATAGGCTGCCAATTTTATACTTTGCAACATCATATGTAAATAAAGTACAACAGAAGTTGACCAACTAGGACCAAGCTTTGTAGAAACAGACCAATCAGGAGTGAACTCCATGCAAATGAAGTACTACAAATGGGCCAATCAGAAGTTAGGGAAGTGGACCAATCAGAAGTGAGGGTAATAACCAATCAGGAGTGACAGTAATAACCAATCAGAAGTGAGAGTAATAACCAATCAGGAGTGAAGGAAATAACCAATCAGAAGTGAGCTCAGTGAACCAATAGAATTTTAGGTGTAAGTTAGCCGCTTTGGAGGCAGGCAGTGAGATAGAACCTCTGGACCAGGGAACCGGACAGTGCTGGGAGGAGAGGAGCAGCCCTGCCTAGGGGTCCTGCCGGTCTTTTTATGGGGCTTCCCGCCTCACTGCTATCTGCAAGTTGGAAAACCAGGCAAGTCAGTGGTGCAGTTAGGGTCCGAGTTCCAAGACCTGAGAATTCTGGGTTGTATGGTGTAGGTCCTATTATGCCCTAACAACCAAATTGCTCATTTAAAATTGGCTAATTTTATTTTTATGGAGGTTAATTCTGTTTTTAGTGAATTTACCTCAATAAAGTTGACTAAAAAGCAAAAAATAAAATAAGAAAAAAATGTATTATTAAATTAACTCCCCATAATGTAGTTCTATGTAGCAAGCCCTTAAAGATAGGTGTTTAAAATCAGGTGAAGTGTTGGACTGGGTGTAGAACAGCTGTGGTGTTTGCATGTGCTGGGTGAGTTCCTTTTGGATAGTGTCTTGGGTTTGACTGCTTATCTTGAATTCTCTGGAGAAGCAGACAGTGGTTGTCCCGGATATTTGCTTTTCCCTTGAGTCTGTT